CTCACACTGCATTTGGCAGAACTTCGTATGTTCATTTTCACTCCTTCGCTATCTACAACGGGAACATTTTAATATGTGGTTGTCTGAACACAGAAGTTGGCAGGCTGCCCCTGAATCAGGCACAATACTTGAAACTATTAATAAGAAAATCAGTTATGTAACTGACAAGATTTCTAGCTGCCTTTGCACGCTAAAGAGTGTGCATGTCTGATTTGGGCCATGGTGATGTTTTAGATTTATTACCTTACTGAAGGGAGGCAGGTAGCCTAATTAAGGAGTTAGCACTAATTCTGGGGTTTTTTTAGGGCTGGCAGCTGACATGAGCCTTGTATATGTACCATCTAGAGAAATAATTGGAAGCATGCTATACTGGTTTTGCCCCTCACTGTTGAGAGTGGGCAGTTTTCTCCATCTTTTGTCTGAAAAGATTTAGCCTGAAAACTATTATCAGTGTTGCAGAGTGGAAACTCTCTCCTTTTTAACCCCTGTGAAAAATGATATCACTTGCAGTAGAAAGTACTAGTAAAAACAAAGTTGTGTGACATGTATGTGTGAGGAAAATAGTTTTAAATTTGTCAGTTTGGAATTAAGAGAGATTTGATCTTTTTAAGACAGGAGTAGCCAGATAATTAAATATGTTTGCAAGTTCATGAGGGCACATCTGCTCATTAGCCATTATGAAACAAAATGTTTTAATATAATTCCTTACTTTTTATGAAGATCAGACACTGAGACTGATGTGAGTTGTGCAAGTAACTCTTATGGAGGCTTTTTGCCCACCAGGCTGTCATTGCACTTCATCGCTGACAGGCAAACATACTTAACTATCTGGTGGGTTTGTCTTGTCAAATAACCAAAGTATGGAGTGAATTGAGACCACCAAACAGTTAAATCACCTTTCTTACAAAATGGCAGAAACTGTCCAACTGACAAGACAGGATTTCAGTAAATATGCTTTTGTAACATTCTTTATTTCTCATTGCATTTGGAGGCAAAGTTCATCTACATTAAAGTCAGAGGACCACCTAGGCCATCCTGTTACCCTGAGCTTTAAAATTTTACATGGATTTACTGCATGGCAGCACAATATGTTACTGTCTTTCCCAGTATTACAATGATGTTTTCTTTTTAATTGACAACTTGAAGCTTTGCATCTATCCAGTGTGGAATTCTTGTGATTTTTCTAAGAGGGTCATGTCATCCTGATCTTAATACCTTGTTTCATATTGAGTAGAGTGGGTTTGGTGGGTTTTTTTCGTATTTTATGTAGGCTATCATATTTTAAGAATGACATCTCAAGCATTTCATATTTGGCCCTGCTGATTATTTTTGAGAAATCTGTTTTTCTGTCTTTGCCCCGCATGCCATCGTATAATTGATTTTCTATTTGTTTGAGCAAAGGTGAAGCAAATGTGTTACCTGTTTCATTGTCAGTCTTCTAAAAATGCATGTTTTCTAGCCATTCCTGAAATGTACTCTAAACATATAAACAAATAGTTTTAGGCAATACCTGTATCAGTGTAAAATAGTTTAATATTAAAAAAAAAACTCTTCTGAAATGTGTTGATTTAATTTCTAAGGGGAAAATGTAAGACCATCAGGTTTTACTATCTCTGGCCCATGGTAGCAGACCTTGCACTTCTGCAGAGCCCTCTTAGTACAAGCAGAGTAATATTCTGCTTGTATTTTAAGATTCCAGCCACATGGATCAAATTGCCAGAGCAGAGCCTCGTTGCCCCTTGAAAAAGATGTACCTATTGCAGTGTGCTAGTACTGTAACAAAGAAAAAGTGGTTTTGCCTGGACGAGAGAAAGAAATGTTGATCTTGGCTGAATTTGTGCCTGAGAGAATGTGGACAACTTTTGCTTTTTCCCTATTGTGCTCTCTTTATTTTGAATTTTAAAAGTTCTGGAGTAAAATTGCAGCTTTAATGGGAATTCTGCACATCAGCTTTGCTGCTGGTATTGGCTGCGAGAGCCACATCCCTTAAATCGTGTAATGGACTGTTAGTTGATCTTCGTGTTTTGATATTGTAACTATTAGGCCTGATCCAGAAAAGCACTTAAATGTCTATATAACGTTATGCATGTGAATAGTTTTGCTGGTTCTGCTGGGAAAACCGACATGCATCTGTGCTGAAGTGCTTTGCTGGATCAGATCCTACGCCTCCACTGGAAGCCTCCTAGGGATATGACGGCATTGACAACCTAGCTATTATGACGAGAAGAGTCTAAATTTTACTTTTTAATTGAAGGTTCCCAAGAGAAGGTTATGCTTGGAAAATTCCTGTATCAAACTATCTGTGTAGTTGCCTATTTTTAAAAGATGTAATGAAAGGAGATGTGGACAGTGAGAGATATTTGCTTTCAGCTTACCTAAGATGTAACTTTTGAAATGTGTTTTGCCATTAAGTGGAACCTAAAGAAACTGAATTTAAGAAAGCTTGCTGAAAGACAAGTATAGAACCTATACATAAACATAAAAGCATACATTGTTTTACACGTCTTCTGGTTTGGTTCAATACTACTTTCATTGGTGTTCTGTTCCATTTTTGTTTGTAAAGTACGGGGTGATAGGTACCACTAGTATTTCAAGGTAATTAATATGAATTACTGTTACAGGAAAACATTTCTGCAGTAAGCTATACTCATGTAACTGATAACTAGTGTACTTACACTGGTTAGCCTTTTGTGATTTTTTTTTTTTTTTTTTTTTTTCCTTGACAAAAAGGCATATATGATTGCCTTTGAATTCGGAACTTCTCTATCAGAGAAGCAGCCATATCAGATGTCACCAGCACAGTGCTTTCTGAGCCTAGCTATCAAACTGCCATTGTCAGCATATGTTGAAATGGATAATAAAGGATATGAAAAGTCTTGCATGACCGAGCAGTGAACTTTGTGTTAACTGTGCATTTAGCAGTGCAAATCTTTAGAATTAAAATCTCTAATGCTGCATTTAATCGATGAACTGCGTAGTTGTGGTCTGGGGAGCCTGCATAGCTGATAAATCATAGAATCAACCAGGTTGGAAAAGACCTTTAAGGTCATCAAGGATGATCATTAAGGAACTGGAGCACCTTTGATACAAGAAGTCAGGAGAACTGTGAGTGTTCAGCCTGGAGAAGAGGCTGCGCAGGGGGATCTCACAAATGTATATAAATACCTGATGGGAGGAATGAAGGAGAGGCTTAGTCTTCCCAGTAGTGCCCACTGTCAGGACAAGAGTGAATGAGTGTGGTTTGGAACATAGCAAATTCCATCTAAACACAACAAAACACTGTTAGGATGGTGAAACACTGGAATTGATTGCATGAACAGGTCGTAGAGTCTCTATCCAGGGGGTACTCAGAACCCAACTCTGTGGCATCCTGGGCAACCTGCTCTAGCAGAGCTGATTTCAGCAGGGGTAGACAAGATGATGTCTGTTCTCAAATGGTCTGTCCAACCTAAGCAACACTAATTCTGTAAACATGCTTAGATATTTATATTTATATACATATGATAATCACAATCATGCTCATGGCTTTTATACATGTGGATGTGTAAAATCAGCTACTGACCGCTGGAGATACTTCCAGTTTTCCTACTTGAACATTATGTATTGTTGACCAAACCACCACACATACATATCTATCTATCTATCTATCTATCTATAATCAGTCCTGACTCCTGTCTGTTCTTCCTCTAACCGTCTCTTGATTTGCTTAAAAAGGAATTTAAATGTAAAATAAATGTTAGGAAATATTTCTTGAAGTGACTGATGCCAGCTGTGGGGCTGATGCTGGAGACAGCTTATAAAGGATCACAGGTTTCTTCTGTCCCACCTCATTTCTCTTATCCTTACACAAGTGCACATGGTATGAAAAGCAGTCCTTGCAGCAAGGCCTCGCTTTGGTTTTTTGTTGTTTTGAGTTTTTTAAAATATTTTTTATTGTTGTTTTTGTGGTTTTTTGCTTTTTGGGTTTGTGTGGATTTTTGTTTGGTTTGTGTGGATTTTTTATTTTGTTTGTTTGTTTTCTGAATGGTGTTTGGTCCTTTTTTAGAAAGGTTTTTGCAGTATCTCCAGGCACTCCTGTCTTTTATCAGTGTTTGCTTCACCAGGTGGAATGAATGTTCTAAGAGCTGCTAAGCTAGCTGACCTGTTTTGTCTTTAGTCAGGAGAAAAAGCTTGTAAATTTAATACTGGTAGAGTTGAACTCTTCTAGTCTAATACATGTCGGGGGGAGCACAGTTGCAAATACTAAATGCAACCCAGTGTCTGCAGAATTAAGCCAAGGCTGAGAATTGACATTTGCAAGTAAGATTGGTTTGGGGCTTTTTTTCCTGAGATTTCAGTAATTAAAGAATTTCTCAATAAATATAAGCTTAAAAAATGTAGTTTTGATTCAACATTTGGATTTGGAAGACCAAATGTTTTTACCATGTGCTTTTAACGGCACCAAAAGTGTTGGAAATGGCTTTTATTTTTTTTAACTTGGTTATAACAATGACAGCAAGTTGATGTGTTTTGGTGCACAGTTTAGTAAAATCCAAAAGTCATTTTCTAAGTGAACACTGAATTTTGTGGTTGAATTAGATGAATATATTATATAAAAGTATGTGATCTATACCCTAATGAAATACTATATTAGATCGATAAGTCTGTGAACAGTAACTCCATTCTTTTTTAAATGTTTATTTGTTTTTTACATATCTGTGATTTAAGGTTCAAGAATATTTCAGAGTTTAATTTTAAATGTTCTGTGTACTTTTAGTAAGGATACAAGGGAAATATTTAGTGTACACAGTCTGTTTATTATCTCTGTGCCTTGAAAAAACTTTTTTAAATGTCAGAATTAGTTTAAAATCTCCTTAGGTCTTTGCTTGAGTTATTCAATTAAAAGGCAAAATAAGACATTAAATATGTAGAAGACTTTAAAAAAAAAAAAAGTTAAAGCGATTACATAATTCTGATTTTTCAAGAAAAACCCATAGTTGTTTTCTAATTCTATTTTTCAGTTTCCATAGCTAGACGCGTGCAAGACCCATTAGCTGAGCTAGTGAAAATTGAGCCCAAACACATAGGAGTTGGAATGTATCAGGTAAGATAATATGTATGATTTAATCTTAAGTAATCTATCATGATACAGAGCAACACCAAGATGCTGCTTTATAATTGTCAACTAGTTACGTGTCTTTAAAGAGACGTTTGTAGAGTTGATAGAATGGTAGTAAATACTTAGAAGACATAAATTGCCTCCTTTTTTAATCTCTGCTTTTAATGATTGTGATTGAGACTGAAATGGCTGTAGCCAGATGTATAGGCTATTAAAAACATCAAATCAGACAGGTAACCTGATATGTAAAGCTTTCTCTTCTTTGTATTGTTACAGCAATGGAGTTTTAGCTCTTTGTGTAAAATACAATGAGATATTGATCCTCCATTTAGAAGCCATTAATTTGTACTGTTAGTTGCATTCCTTCTTAGAAAGTTTTTAATAAAAGCATCTGTTTTGAAGTTTTTAATTTACTAAAGCTGAATTGGAAAATGTTTGACCACTCACACATTTTTGTAGGTTATTTCTAAGTAACTTCTACCTTCAAAGTGTCTTTACAAAGTGAATGGTATTGAGAAGTTATTGTCATTTTATAGCATATTGGCATCGATTCAGGAAAATATTTATACATGTACTTCAATACCAATTAAAGAAGAAAAAAAGAAAAGAAGAAAATTCAGCATGTGGTTTTCTCTGTGTTTTTGAATCTATAGAATGTAAGTAATTAAGTAAATTTGAAAGGCTGGAGCAGAATTCAGAACAGAAAGCGTGGAACTGTCTGGATCTGTGCTTTTGGATTAGCGCATGAGAGTTAGAATTGGATAGATGCAATTATTAGCCTAGAATCCTTTACTGCCACTGCTAAAGGTAGCATGACAAAGAAAGGTGCTATGAATAATTTCAAAGAAGTATATACCCTGTTTTATTTTAAAGAACTGAGGTCCACATTTCGGTTGGTTAAGGTAGTGCTCACTACTGCTTTTGCAAGGCCCACTTCTGTTTTCACAGACTATAAAATGTACTTGTGTTGCTTGCTAAGTGACAAACGTAGCAGTATAACTAAGTTATATAATCAGTCTTTCAGTATGAATGATACCATAGTTTTTGAGGAAAATTAGATTGAAGGGCTGAAAAAGTGTATGTTTCTTTAATGTATATATGCAGATTTCAGTGAAAATGTGCTTTAATGATGGCAGCTATAAATCAGGGGGTGGTTATCTGGCAGAAGGAGGAGCTTCAATCTGAAGCATAGCTGGTTTCCTTACTTGTGGAGACCCTCTGCTTTTATTTAACGATAATAAAATAGCATGAAAAATAATAGCAGCAATAAAAACAATAATGGAAAATGGTACAAATACTTGTTGGTCCTTGCCTTAAGGAAAAAAGTATTTAACAAAAAAAAATCTCAACACGTTGAGAAAGTGGTTGGTGTTTTAAACAAAATTTTAAAAAATCAATTCCAGTAATAGCTGATATAATCCCCCAGGTAAAGAGTATATCAGATACAGAATTTTATACTATCCAAGACAATTTGAAATGTTCTATTACATTTTAATTTACCATCTAATTGCTGTCTGTAGCTTTTTAAATTAATTTCTTGGATAAAATATGCAATGTGTAGTCCAGATCAAAGGTGTAACAGGCTTTTCACAGAAGTGGTTACTTTCTTAGCCCACTATAACTATAGACCTATTTTTTAAACACCCTGAAATTGACATTTAAGAATCTGACAAATCCAGGTTTTGCCCTTCTTGTCCTGAAGGACATAGAGAGATTAGTCCTGCACTCAGCCTCTGCCTCTTTAGGCAGAGGCAGGCTGGGACTGTGTGTTGCTGCAGATGGCTGTGGAAGCCATATAGCACAAGAAGTGTGGTGGTTTTTTGAGGGACGGTTGCATGTTCATTGTATGTTGATCAAAGCATGAGCTCCCTGAAGGGGTGGTCCTGCTTTTTCTGCTACTCCTACTCAAGTGCCCCAATCCTACCCTGGTGCTGGTAGTGGCTGTGTGATGACCTGAGTTAGCATAAGGGAGGGGCAGCAGTGTGTGGCTTGGGAAGGAGTAGAGCTGTGGCTACTGCTTTCACAGCAGCCTGAGTTTTGGTGGACTTGAGACATGGCCTTTCCATCAGTTTAAGATGGCCAGAGGGCCCAAACTACTTGAAAGGCAATGGCAGAGACATTAATTTTTCTGTCTCTTCTGGGAGTCTTTTTCTCAGAGGTTAACTAAACTGGTGAAGCAGAACCTGCCTGTTGAAGACTGTAGCTTTTGCTGCGGGACTGTGGTACAGGAGCATTCTATGTTCAGCTGAGTGACCTCCTTGGCCAGGAGCTGCTACTGCGATCAGTAGTGCTAAAGGAAAGTAAAGTGGTTGTGTGTATGTTAAATTTGAGCTTTCTCAAAGTCTGCAAAGTCTGTGTGGGCTTCCCCAAGAGTACTCTGTGTAGGGGCTGCATCTTCTGTAATTGCTGCTTCCATGGGATTTTGTATTCCTCCCATCTGACTTCTTGTACTTCACATGCATATTTGTGGGAATATTGCTGCTTTCTAGTTTTCCTAGTGCAAGTTCACCTAGCAAATCTGATTTCAGGTATGGAAATATGAGTTTCCAGGTAGCAGGACATCTCTGTAAATTGAGTCTCATCAGTTGGATGAGACTTGTACTTGACCACCTGCTTTTATTCTCATTTCAAGTTAGGACCGAGTTTGTGCACTACCAAGAAAATCAGGTTTGTCAGAGAAAAATAAACAGGCCCCGGATCTCCTAACAGGTACTTCCTTAAACAAAGAGAAGCACAATCTGATTTATTAGGGCCTCTCTCAGACTAAATTCCAGTTGCCTGAAGGTCCTTGTCTTCCTTCATCTTTATCTCATTAAGAAAATTGTTCTTTCCTCCCAGACAGGAACCTAGCCAAAATTAATTTATCACCTTCAGGCCATATTACTATGATTTCTTCTGTAGTTGTATGTGCAGATGATGCACAGACTCTGTCTGATAGAGAGTATGTTTGCCTTGCCACCTCCCCATGCCAGTTCAAAGCTAAATTCGTATCGGGGAAGAAGCAGTTAGTGGCCAAAGACTTCAGAAAACTGCAAACTGAATTTTCGCTGACGAATTACCAGAACAGTTGTAATGGTCTTGGAAGATGTAGATAAGAGCTGAGAACAGAGCTGCTTCACAAAGATTGCAGTTAGGGAATTGAATTCCAGAGCAAAGAAAATGAGTAAAAAGTAAAAAAGATGCCTAAAGAAGAAAAAAGAATTCCTTCATCTCTAATAAAACCCCAGCTTTTCATAGGAGAGGAAAACAGCATTGGTATAAACACTCAGTCTACTAGTCCCCATCAAAGATAAATAGCCTCAAGTGAAAGGAGAATCAAACTAATAAACTTTTTAAAAGTCAAAACCTGAATCCATATTATAAGGCAGAGAAAAGAAAAATAATGCTAATGAACTTTGTTAAGTTTGGTTGGCTTTCTGCTGTTCATTTAATGTGCAAAAGCCCTGGGTGCTAAAAAACCAATAACCTCTAGGGAAAGGACCAGCAGGAGCTTAAACGCACTTGTAGAAAAGAACAAAATCTGTAGTTTGTATTGAAGGATCAGAATTTTTGATGAGTCATGAATAATATTAAAAAATGTGCACTGTATCTGATCTTGTGAAAGCAACATCTTTGTCGTGGTCTTTATAAGACCAAAGACCTCCATGATGTATTTTTGTACATGGTAACATCTTCACTTTTTAACACATTTGGAAAATTAACATCCCAAAACAATACTTAGGTTTTAACCTCTGAAGTGGGAGGATACTTGACTGCACATGTAGCTGGAGTATTTTCTGTCAAATAAATAGAATTTGTAAGCAATACTCTCAAGTAGCAATTCCTTCAGGAAAAAAAACAGTTGAGCTAATTCCTGGTTCATTTTCTATACCATGCTTGGCAGGTCCTGATCAAAGGAGAGCTTCAGTAAAGCCCAATCAGAATGCCTAATAATAATGAAATTTGGAAATGCCTTTTCTGTCCCTCTTGTCCTTTTTCCTCCCTGTGTTCCTCTCATTATTGAAGTGTGTCAGTTTCATTATTACCTGTAGGACATCTTATTATTTCAGTTGCAGTTTGATACACCTTTTAGGCTTGGGTTTTTCCTCACAAAAGATGAGTATGTTTTATTAAATGGCAATACAGCTTTAGGGAACACTTATAATCAGATACATTTCCTCCTTAATCGGACAAGTTCTGTCTTAATTATGGTATTGCAGATATAAGCTACTTTAAAATTTATAGCCAGATAATAGTGAGACAACTCACTATAGTCATATCTCCATTCCTGTTGGAAAGGAAGGAGGTTTTCCCTTTCTCAAGAAGGCAGTGTAAAATGCTTTCTGCCGTCGCAGACCATCCCTGCTAGGCTCCTTCCTTCCCTGCTTTGGTGCCAAACCAGACTCACGCTGATGAGAGGGAACTGGCTGACAGTGGTGGAAGGATGTTACCAGCCTCTCCTGCACATGGCTGAAACTGCACGCAGCCCTTTTAGTTTGTTGCATTCTTTAATCATTATCTTCCTCCCTCTAAAGATGTGCATGGCATCACCATTGTGAAGTCTTTCTAAACCTCCAGTGGGTGTCTGTGTTTCAGGATGGGTATTAGAAAGGTGTGTTGTTAACTTCATTTTTAACGGTAGTATCACTTATAAATTTTATTATTCTGAAAGCCTGTCGTGCATGTTATTTACTTGGGGCAAACTGACTGTATATTTAATGCTTAATAGTTACCAAATGTGGAGATACTTGGGAGGTGAGCTCTAGCAACATTTTAGAAACCCAGGGATCAAAGGGGCCTCAAGGGTATCTCTTAGTACAAGAGTACAGTTGGGTCAGCCTGGTACAACTGTAGGCTGAACAAGCCTATGCATTATTTCTGTTTGTTGCCTTTCCTTCCAGAAAAGCTGGTTTGTCCCTTGCACTGCAGCTTGCTCTTAGAAAACCCTAGCAAAGATAACTTGGTAGCTTTATTTGTTAAGCAATTCTGAGGCTTAACAAAGTTTA